ACATAATGAACACACCTGTCCAACATTACACATTATAATCTTGAAACTAAATTCTTTTTAGCTAGATAATCAAGTCCCTTCTCACTTATATGATTAAACCTTTTGTGCCATAATTTTGAAGAGCTATCACCTTCAACTGTATTAACAAGATCTGTAGAGATTGAAACTTATAACTAGTATAAGCCCAAAACCTTCTTTCCTCCACCCAAAACTAAAGAACTTTAATTGAGTTTATATTGCCTCACATTAAAAGTGTTATAATAACTATCATCATCAAGCTTATTAGTGGAGATCAAATGCAACCTAATGTTTGGTGCATGTCTAACATTCTTCAACTTTAACTTTATTCCATTTTATGTCTCTAAACTAAAATTTTCAATGTCTATCACCTTTGATACTCCATCATTACCCATCTTCAGAATCCTAAAATCACCTAAAGTATAAGATGTGAAGAATTCATTCATTGATGTAACATAAAAGCATGCACCACTGTCAAGAACTTAAATGGTGTCATCATAGGCTATATTGATCATATTATCTTAATAAACTATATCAAAATCATCATATGTGGTAATGGCAACACAATCAGTATTGTTGTCGTTGCGCTTCTTTTCTTGCTTCTCTTTGTCTGCCTTGTTCTCTTTCTGCCACTTAAAATAAAATTTATTGATATGCTATAGCTTACCACAATGATGACATTTAAGGTTCTTGTACCTTAATTTTGATTTACTCCTGTTCTTGCATCTGTTCTGATCTTGACTCTTACTTTTACTTCTCCCTCTGTTTTTAGTAACAAATATTTTTTATTCTGAACTAGATGTCCCCTGAGTTTTTCTTCTCATATATTCATTCAAAACACTAGTCCTTATATACTACATGGTTACAATGTCGTCAGGAGTAGAATTGATCAAAGATACTTGAAAGTTTTGCCATGAATCAGGAAATGTTGACAAAGTCCAATAATGTCCACATCAAATTTGACTCTCATGTTAGATAATTGATCAAAGATATATTGAAATTTATTCACATGATCAAGTATAGAACTACCTTCTCTACATCGCAAATGCATAACTTGTTTAAACAATAATAACTTATTATTTCCAATCTTTAAAGCATACAAAGGTTCAAACTTTTCCCATAAAGTTTTGTCACTTATTTCATTAACAATATGATTAAACACATAATCTTCTACCCATTACTGAAAAAACCACATACTTGTAAATTCTCAAATTTTCAATCTTTATCGAATTTAGACTCAGGTTTTTGAAAAGTAAACATAGGTAAATACAACTTTTTCACAACAAAAAGATCCTTTATTTTTCTTTTCCATTTGTGATAATTTGTGTCATCTAAACAAACCATTTTACTCACATTCACCTCCATTATTCAAACAAGTAAAAATTTCACAATCAATCAATGAACTAGTGAACCTCGCTTTAGTAGCACTTTGATGAGAAATGCTTGAATAAATCTATGAAGAGTGACAACTAAATAAAATTCAGTAAATAAATAGCATAAAATATGCTCCAAGATACACAAAAGCAATCACACAAAGAGATATGCAGAAAACTCCTTAAATGTGAAGGATAAAAACTATGAGAACTCTCATGGTCCAAGTAAAAGAGTTCCACTATCACAATTAATGTTTATAATAACTATAAGTTACCACAATAATCCTCAAATAAAGTCTCAACAACAAATCAAACAAACAATGAGAGATAACCAAAAGAACTGAGAAATATCAACAAAAATAGCTATTCTTTATGCAAAACAGATGAGGTCTGGTTGTTCAAATATGATTTTCGCCATCCAGATCAAAGAACAATATATCCCAAATATATTCATCAAATTTCAGCATAATTAGACCACAAATAACTGTCTGATCGTAAGAAAAAACCAAACCGGTCACTATTGTGAAAAAATCACGAACAGTAAATTTTGAAACACAAATACCAAAAATCTAGTTGGCCAAAACTGATCTTGACCGTTCAAAATGAAGAACAACAAGTCCTCTAAAGACTCACCAAATTTTAGCCTGATCGGAACACATTTGTTTGTCTGATCGTCGAAAAAATCAAAACTGGTCTAATGTGATTTCTCAGTAAAAATCTCCTTTTCTCTCCTTTTTTGTTGTTCTCTTCTTAATATATATTTTTTTTTATGGCTGAGAGATTTTTCGTAAAAAAAAATCCAAGATACAAGTGAAATAGGTTAAAACATTAATAGCCTTAATGAGCCAAAAGAAGTGTGCTGATGTGTTTTATTTTTATCTTAATTTTAATATCCTTATTATTTAAATTTATGCATTTTGAGTTAAAAGGTGATTTATGATATAAATTTTTTATGCATGTTGAATTGTTGTAGAAAAGATGAAAATGAAGTTGAAGAGAAAAAAGTCCAACAAGCCCGGATCTGAAGCACCTAAACCCATACCAAGTCAAACCCATTCCGAGCCCTCCAAAACGATGTCGTTTTGAAGAGTGAAAAAAATCGTAGAATAAGAAGATCGGGTGGAAGGGAAAAAAGAGGCTAGAAAGAAAAGATAATAGGTGTGCACAAGAAAACCCTCTCTTTCAGCCGCCTATAAAAAAGAAACAACGAGAAACAATAAAGGAGAGAAGAAAAAAAATCAGATCTGTAGACAGAGAGAGGAAGCTACCAACGGGTGAAACAAAAAAGATAATAGAACTAGTGGAGAGAGCTAGATGCAGAAATGTGCAAAAACTTACAGACGCGAAGTCGTATGCCGTTGGAGAAGAAGTAGAAATATAGTGAGCTGAGCAAAAAGGCAGAACCAAAAAGTAGAAGTAGACGTTGAGCCAAACAGAAGGGAGAGAAGTTGAAAAAAAGGATTAATCAAGTAATTTATTTATTTAATTTTCAATTAACATATTTTTGGGATATAAATTTTTATGAATTTTTTATGAAACTCGAATGCTAGCGTTTGAAATTTTTTATAAATTTATTATTGATTATTACATGATTAAATTTCTCTTTATTATAATCGTTGTTACTCAATCCACCATATCTACCTAAATTTTTTTTATAGAGTAATTGATGTAGCTTAAATCAAATGTGAATTTGGGGTTTAATTTTTTGTTTTTTTTTTTATTGTAGTTTAGCAGTATTGAACTTAATTCAGTTGTGAGAATTGACCAACTCATAACTCTATTTATAATTGATGGTTTTAAAGTAACGAGAGTGAATTTTCATTAATTAGATATATTAAGCGTTAATAGAGATTTGAATAAAAGTAATACAGTTAAATTAATGTAGATTAATCAAATTATTATAGATTTAATTGAATCAAATTAATTATTATTATAAAATATTAGCAGTTGTTAATTGATAAACCTAATCTAATACTGTGAGGAAAATTGAAAGTGCATTAGGATAGTTAAATGATTGCAGAATAGATTAAATCGATTGCGAAATTAAAACTCGAATATACTTAAGATTTAGATGAAATTAATCACCATGGTGCATTTTCATTGATTAGTTTTTCTCAATTTAATTATTATGCTTTAATTAAATTATCTAATTTTTTTTTATAAATTTAACTTCAATTTCTAAATAATAATAAAGTTTATATAATTTTAGTACTTGATAAGCAATTCCTGTGAGATGATATTCTACTTACCACTTTATTATTTTTATAATTTCGTGCATTTGTGAATTATCTCGTCATGGGCTCAAACAACATGAGTTTTTTTTACATATGAGGGAACCTAAAACCCAACAAAAATGCGAGTATATATGTGCGACACAATATTTCGATATCGTTAAAACACATTTGATTGTATTAGAATCTCTATAAATCATGTTTGCATTTTCTTTCGTTTGTTCTTATTTTAATTACTTAAATTAATTATTCTTGAGTTATATTAATTAACTTGGAATTCAATTTGTTATCTACACATTTTTGTTGAAATTAACTTGAAAATAATTTATTGAAAATGTTAAATGGTTTGGTTAAGCTTGAAAAACTCAATGCACCTCTCCTCTTAGGTTTCTTTGATAATTTGGGACAACAATTTGTCTTAATTTTACTTTTTGAAAAAAAAAAAAATTGAAAGTTCATAAATGGTTTGGTAGAAAAATAAATGTTTTTATGACAAAACTGAAACATAAGCTAAAGTTTGAGAACTAAATTGTCAACTTCTCTTTAGAGTATATTTTTTATTTTATTTTGAACTAATATAAATTATAATTGAATGAATCATTAAAAATTGACTGGATTGGATTAGAATTTGAGAAATTTTTAACTTTTATAGTGTAAAAATAATTACGTATGGTTTTATTTATTAAAATAATTTAATATTATATTTATGTAAATGATTGATTTAATTAATTTTATTAACAAATAAATTATTTAAATAAAAAAATATATAAAAAAATTTAAAAATATAATTCGATTCAAATTAAATAGAAGTAAACCATATAATATTTGGTCTAAATATGGTGTAAACAATATGACAATGGGACCAAATTTGTTCAACTTTCCAATCAACTGACATTTTTTTTTTTTCTCAAATAATTGTTTGTTAATCCTAAAGGGATTATAAAGTTTATACAATATGTGGATAAGAAAATAGTAGTAATTTAATTACAATTATAGCGATTTTTTTTTGCTATTGCTAATATTTGTTCTATTTTATTACTAATTAGTGT